GCGCCCGACGTGGGGCTCGAACCCACGACCCTGATATTAAGAGTTCATGCTCTCCGACTGAGCCAGCTCGGAACGAAGGAAAGACTTGGCCACACTCGTGTGTACAACTCAACATAGTCTCCAAAAGAAGAACACGACGATGGCTGGGAAGAACACGTATACTTCGACGCCCATTGGGTAAACATGCTGAATACCTCGGAAAAACAGCGCCCAAGCGTGGGGCTCGAACCAACGACCCTACTATCTAGGAGTCTCATACTCTGCCGAGCTGAAGCCAGCCGGGCACGCAGTGCGCTGACTTTGCGTACAAACAACTCGGGGTGTGTACAACATCAGCATAGATTCACAAAACGAAAAAGAAAGAGCATGGCTGGAGAAGATAACAGATGATTACCTTCGACGACGCGCGATGTAAGAATGGAAGACTCGGAAAAAAAAACATCGCCCAATGTGGGGCTCGATCCCACGACCCTGAGATTAAGAGTCGCATGCTCTACTGACTGAGCTAGCCGGGCACGCAGGAACTGACTTGGCACACAACATCTCGTGTGTACAAGATCAGCATAGTTCACTAAAGAAAAAAAAACGAGGATGGCTGGGAAGATACAGATGTACACTTCGACGTGCGATGTAGCGTGGCAGAACTCGCGAAAAAATAGCGCCGAACAACCCACGACCCTGAGATTAAGAGTCTCATTCTCTACCGGTTGAGCTAGCCGGGCACGCAGGAACTGACTTGGCACACAACATCTCGTGTGTACAAGATCAGCATAGTTTAATAAAAGAAAAAAAAACGACGATGGCTGAGAAGAAACAGATGTAGACTTTGACGTGCGATGTAACATGTGAGAACTCGGGGAAAAAAACAGCGCCTAACGTGGGGCTCGATCCCACGAGCCTGAGATAAAGGGTCTCATGCCCTACCGACTGAGCTAGCCGGGCACGCAGGAACTGACTTGGCACACAACTTCTCGAGTCTACAAGATCAGCAAAGTTCCCCAAAAGAAAAAGAACGAGGATGGCTGGGAAGAAAATGACGTATAATTAGACGCGCGATGTAATATGCGAGGACTCGGGAAAAAAAAACAGCGCCAAACGTGGGGCTCGAACCCACGACCATGAGAATAAGGGTCTCAAGCTCTACCGACGGAGCTAGATGGGCATGGCAGGAATTGACTAAGCGCACTTCTCGTGTGTACAAGATCAGCATGGTTTACCCAAAGAAGGAACGAGGGTGGCTGGAAAGAAACATATGTGGGCTTCGCCGCGTGATGTATCTTGGGAACACTCGAAAAAAACAGCGCCTAACGTAGGACTCGAACCCACGATCATGAGATTAAGAGTCGCATGCTCTACCGACTGAGCTAGCCGGGCACGCAGGAACTGACTTGGCACACAACGTCTCGTGAGTACGAGATCAGCATAGTCCACCAAAAGAAAAAAAAACGAGGATGGCTGGGAAGAAACAGATGTGAACTTCGACGCACAATGTAACGTGGCAGGACTCGGCAAAAAACAGCACCCAACAACCCACAACCCTGAGATTAGGAGTCTCATTCTCTACCGGCTGAGCTAGCCGGGCACGCAGGAACTGACTTGGCACACAACATCTCGTGTTTAGAAGATCAGCATAGTTTACTAAAAGAAAAAAAAACGACGCTGGCTGAGAAGAAACAGAAGTAGACTTCGACGCGCGATGTGACATTAGAGGACTAGGGAGAAAACAGCGCTTGAGGTCGGACTCGACCCAACGAACTTGAGATTAAGAGTCACACGCTCTACCGACTGAGCTAGCCGGGCACGCATGATCTGACTTGTCACACAACATCTCGTGGGTACAAGATCAGCATAGTTCTCCAAAAGAAAAAAAACGAGGATGTCTGGGAAGAAACAGATGTATACTTCGACGCGCGATGTAACATGCGAGGACTCGGGAAAAAAACAGCGCCAACGTGGGGCTCGAACCCACGACCCTAACATTAAGAGTCTCATGCTCTACAGACTGAGCCAGCCGGGCGCGCAGGCACTGACATGGCAAACAACATCTCGTGTGTACAACATCAGCATAGTTCACAAAAGAAAAAAAAACGAGCATGGCTGGGAACAAACAGATGTATACTTCGACGCGCGATGTAAGATGGGAGGACTCGGGAAAAAAACAGCGCCCAACGTGGGGCTCGAACCCACGACCATGAGATTAAGAGTCGCATGCTCTACCGACTGAGCTAGCCGGGAACGCAGGAACTGACTTGGCACACAACGTCTCGTGAGTACGAGATCAGCATAGTCCACCAAAAGAAAAAAAAACGAGGATGGCTGGCAAGAAACAGATGTGAACTTCGACGCACAATGTAACGTGGCAGGACTCGGCAAAAAACAGCACCCAACAACCCACAACCCTGAGATTAGGAGTCTCATTCTCTACCGGCTGAGCTAGCCGGGCACGCAGGAACTGACTTGGCACACAACATCTCGTGTTTAGAAGATCAGCATAGTTTACGAAAAGAAAAAAACGACGCTGGCTGAGAAAAAACAGAAGTAGACTTCGACGCGCGATGTGACATTAGAGGACTAGGGAAAAAACAGCGCTTGAGGTCGGACTCGACCCAACGAACTTGAGATTAAGAGTCGCACGCTCTACCGACTGAGCTAGCCGGGCACGCTGATCTGACTTGGCACACAACATCTCGTGTGTACAAGATCAGCATAGTTCTCCAAAAGAAAAAAAACGAGGATGGCTGGGAAGAAACAGATGTATACTTCGACGCGCGATGTAACATGCGAGGACTCGGGAAAAAAACAGCGCCAACGTGGGGCTCGAACCCACGACCCTAACATTAAGAGTCTCATGCTCTACCGACTGAGCCAGCCGGGCGCGCAGGCACTGACATGGCAAACAACATCTCGTGTGTACAACATCAGCATAGTTCACAAAAGAAAAAAAACGAGCATGGCTGGGAAGAAACAGATGTATACTTCGACGCGCGATGTAAGATGGGAGGACTCGGGAAAAAAACAGCGCCCAACGTGGGGCTCGATCCCACGACCCTGAGATTAAGAGTCGCATGCTATAGCGACTGAGCTAGCCGGGCACGCAAGATCTGACTCGGCACACAACATCTCGTGTGGAAGATCAGCATAGTTCACGAAAAGAAAAAAACGAGGATGGCTACGAAGAAACAGATGTATACTTCAACGCGCGATGTAACATGCGAGGACTTCGGGATAAAAAACCGCGCCCCCCGTGGAGCTGACACCCACCAACCTTAGATTAGGGTCTCATGCTCTACCGACAGAGCTGGCCGCGAACGCAGGCACTGACCTTGGCACACAACATCTCGTGTGTACAAGATCAGCATAATTCACCAAAAGGAAAAGAACGAGGATGGCTAGGAATAAACAGATGTATATTTGACGCGCTATGTAATACGCGAGGACTCGGGAAAAAACAGCGCACAACTTGGGGCTCGAACCCACGACCCTAAAATAAGAGTCTCTTGCTCTACCGACTGATCTAGCCCAGCACTCAGGAACTCACTTGGCACACAACATCTCGTGTGTACAAGATCAGCATAGTTCTCCAAAAGAAAAAAAAACGACGATGGCTGCGAAGAAACAGATATACTTCGGACGCGCGATAAATGGAGGCCTCGGGAAAAAACAGCGCCCAACGTGGGCTCGAACCACGACCCTAACATTAAGAGTCTCATGCTTAACGGACTGAGCTAGCCGGGCACGCCTGATATGACTTGGCACACACAAAATCTCTTGTGTACAAGATCAGCATAGTTCCTAAAAGAAAAAAAAATCGGGAGGGGTGAGAAGAACCAGATGTCATCACTTCGAACGCGCGATGTAACATGGGAGGACTCGGGAAAAGAAACAGCGCCCAACGTGGGGCCTATCCAAAAAAAACATGTAGACTAAGTTGTCGAATGCTCTACCGACTGAGCTAGACCGATCAGTCGAAGCTCCACTTGGCCGCTCCACATCTGGTTGTACAAAGATCGCTACGTTCACTAAAAGAAAAAAAACTAGGTTTGCTGGGAAAGGACGATGTAGACATCGAGCGCGCGATGTAACAGGGATCACTCGGGAAACAAACAGCGCCAACGTGGGGCTCGACACCCCGACCTGAGATAAAAGACTCATGCTCTACCGACTGAGCTAGCTGGGCACGCAGCAAATGACTTGGCACACAACATCTCGTGTGTACAACATCAACATAGTTCTCCAAAAGAAGAAAAACGAGGATGGCTGGGAAGAAACTTATACTTCGACGCGCGATGTTACATGCGAGGAGTCGGAAAAAAACAGCGCCTTACGTTGGGCTCGAACCCACGATCCTAACCTTAAGAGTCTCATGCTCTACCGACTGAGCCAGCCGTGCACGCAAGATCTGACTTGGCACACAACATCTCGTGTGCACAAGATCGGCATAATTCACGAAAAAAACGAGGATGGCTGGGAAGAAACAGATGTAGACATCGACGCGCGATGTAACATGGGAGGACTCGGAAAAAATTAAGCACCCAACGTGGGGCTTGAACCCACGACCCTGAGATTAAGAGTCTCATGCTCTACCGACTAAACTAGCCGGGCACGCAGGAACTGATTTGGCACACATCTGAGTGTACAACATC